AAAAAAGCAATCTGAAATAACATGATGCTTATGAATGCCTATTGTTCTTGTTCCCAATGTCTATTTAAAAGTAATTTTCAAGTAAACATATATATCACATTTTCTTGATCCATAGATTTAGAGGGGCATCTGAGTTGGTTCCATATCTTAGCTCTGGTAAATAATGCTGCAATAAACATAGTTGTGCTGGTAGCTTTAGTATGGTCTTGTTTGTAATCATGTGGATAAATGCCCAAAAGTGGGATTGCTGGGTCATAGGGGAGCTCTATGTGGAGTCTTTTGAGGAACCTTCATACTGCTTTCCAGAGTGGATGAACAAATTTACACTCCCACCAACAATGCAGTAGGGTTCCCTTCTGTCTACATCCCCTCCAGCATCTGTTATTATTAGAGTTCTTGATTATAGCCATTCTAACTGGAGTGAGGTGGTATCTCAATGTTGGTTTGATTTGTATTTCTTTTATGGCAGAGATGTTGAGCATTTCTTCATGTTGAGCATTTCTATTGGCCATTCTTATTTTCCTCTTCAGAGAAATCTCTCTTTAAGTCTTTAGCCTAGTTATTAATGGGGAGGTTGTCTGCATGTACTGTTTGCTCTAACTGGAACTTCTTTCATCTTCTCAATCTTTAGTCCATCCATGTGGTTAACTTTTACCTGCGCTTCCACTATTACTTTATATGTTACTGCCTCCAAGAGTCATTTCCTCAGTCCCTCAAGTATTATTTGGCTAACGGGGTGTCATGGTAACAATCACTCTATTTTCACTATATGTTGTGTGTGAACAGCATTGAGCAAGAGAAAGGAACTGACTTGCCCAAGGTTAGACAGCCTGTTAATAGCAGTGCCTTGGTGCCAGGATTGTTATCTCCATTTTTTTTCATTTCCGCCTCAGGTAGTAGTACCCAACTCCACCTCGGTTATACCTAGGCCCTGTGGAGTGCTAACATATAAAATCACCAGAAAAACAGGCCTCTGTGTAGGCTTGGGTGTGGTGCATTTCTTCGCTCTAACTCATTAGCCCACTAAGACATCCTGATTGTTGCTCCCTGCCAGCTCTGTCGGCCTCTGTCACAGGAACATCCAGTGCAGTGATCTTAATCCGGGCTGATGTCTATTTGCTGCACTTTCTTTTTGTTGCCAATGTAGGCATTGGCAATTAAACACTATAATTTAGTTAGCTCTCCCCAGAGTTTGCCTGATAAACTCAGGCCTGATAAACCCTTCCTTCCTTCCCTCCCTCCCTCCTATTCTAGTCCTCCCTCCCTCCTTCCTTCCTTCCCTTTCCTTCTTTCCTTCCTTCCTTCCTTCCTTCCTTCCTTCCTTCCTTCCTTCCTTCCTTCCTTCCTTCCTTCCTTCCTTCTTTCCTTTCTCTCCCTTTTCTTTCTTTTTGTGTTAATACCATGGCCTGAACTCAGAGCCTGGGTGCTGTTCTGAGCTCTTTTGCTCAAGGCTAGCATTCCACCACTTGAACCACAGCTTCACTTACAGTTTCTTGGAGTTAACTGAAGATAAGGGTCTCATAGACTTTTTGTTCCTAGGCTGGCTTTGAACCATAATCCTCAGATCTCAGTCTCCTGAGCAGCTAGGGCAATCTACCTACTCAGCCATGAGCAACTGGTGCCTGGCTCCTTCTATTTTATCATTTTACTTTATGCACAATTTACCCAGCTATCTAAGTCAGGACCTATGTTTCATCACAGACCGAGCCTCTTTCTCAACTCTGCTATTTCTAGCCCCCTTAGCCACTCTCATAGGTAACATGTCTTCCTTCCTTCATCCCTATGCTTTTGCTTTGATTTTGGATTTCAGCTGGGCCATTGAAGTAACTTCACGTTGAATCTCTCCACTCCAAGTCTATCCATTCTAGTCAATCCTATTTACTGCAACGTAATTGGTTCGAAACACAGAGGTCATGAGCATGGCCTCCCTGAGAGTCTTTAATGAACCCTTAAAATGGATAGTCAGTATCCTTGAGCTTTCATGGTGTATTTGTTAGCTTGAGCTATCATAACAAAATATCATTGACTGAATGGATTAAGAGAAATCTACTTCAATCTAGTTCATCAACTTTACAATAATAAGAGCCAGTTCAAGACTTAGAGGAGATAGAAAAGGGGATATTACCCTTAATTCTATAGAAATCCAGAGGATCTTTAGAGATTATTGAAATAAATGGATCGATCAATTTATAGACACGTATAATATATTAGCAAGAGAAATCTAGGGAGTAGATATGCTCACTAATCCTGAAAATGTGTGCATACTAACTCCTGAATATTTACTCATCTATGTATACTTTTCTGTGCCTATATTATACCAAACGTTAGTTCAAAAATATTGAACTTAATCCATATGAATATAGATCTCTCCTCTTCCCCGTTCTTCCCTGTAAATTTCTTACAGATCATTCTTATAATCCAACACACATTTAGCTATTTTATTCTAGGGAGCACATATACATTATCAGAACTGTTAATATACATGCAACTTTATTAAAGATCAGAGTACAATATTGATAAGCAGTTTCTCAGTTTTAAAGACTCCACTCAGTTTTAATGTTCCTTCATGCTACTGAGGTCATCACTTTGCCCCTATCCCTTTCATTGAGGTTGTTCATACATTGGTAAAACAGATTATCTTGACATAAACAGGCTATATTATTTTCTGAAAACCAGAAGCCTTCTACATGAATTAAAAAATATATATATATACATTAAGTTTTATTCTTAATGTGTAAAGTTCTAAAGGTACTGGCAAATGTATCATAACAGGTATCAATAATTATACTATCATACAGAATGATTTCACTCCTAAAAACCCTCTATCTATTAAACCTTTTTCCTAAGACTTTGTCCATCACTTAGCTTTTTAAAAAAATTGTTCTTTTTTTTTCTTTATGTGATGTCAAATAATTTGAATAATACTGTCTTTTCCAGCTGTGTGTTTGTGTGTGTGTGTGTGTGTGTGTGTGTGCAGATTCTGGAGCTCAAATTTAGGCCACGTGTGCTGCCCCTGAGCTATTTTCTCTGCCACCTGAGCCACAGCTCCACTTCCAGCTTTTTGTGGTTGTTAATCAGAAATAAGAGTTTCATAGACTTTCCTGAGTGGCTGGCTTTGAACCAAAACCTTTAGATCAGAACCTCCTGAGTAGCTAGGATTATAGACATGAACCACTGGTACATGGCTAAACCATTTTTACTTATCAATATTCTATATATATTTTTTAAATTCTTTTAGACAGGTTACCTTGTAGTCCAGGCTAGCCAGCCTCAAATTCATCACATTCCTGCTGCTTGGAGTGCAGAAATGTTAAGTTTGAACCACCACACCTGGCTGAACAATCATTTAAAGCTTATACATCTCTTTTTATGACTTTCTTATTGTTAATGAATGCTATCTCATTGTGTGGTTATAAAACAATTTGTTTACCCAATACTTCCCTTTAAGAGATAGGGCCTAACTGAAGTAAGTGAGGTCACTGGGGATGTGCCCTTGAATGAGACATTGGGACGGAAGTCCCAATCTGCCAGATTCAACAGTACTCCTCAAACACACAGTGTTGTTGCCATTTTGGACTATGCTACCAAAGACTCAGAGCAACGTGACAGCTAAATGACTGGACTCCCAGCAACACGAGCAAAAGCAAACTTTTTCCTCCTTTAAGTTGATTATCTCAGGCATTATTTTCCTGGTGATAGAAAACTGAATGACACAGGGACAAATTCATTGTTTAGTACCCACCAACAATGATTAGAGTTCTGATTGCTCCATGTTCTCCTCTACATGGGTTATTATCAGTTTTGGGACGCTTTAGCCATCCTAATAGATGTTTGTTTCATTGTTGTCTTAATTTTCATTTCCAAATGGCAATTTAAAAAATGCTTTATTTGACATTTGTTTACTGCAAATATCTATTTAGATGCCTTGTCTAATTTTGGCTTGTGTTTTTATTGGTGGTGTTTTAAGAGTTCTTCAGATATTTTTTGATACAAATTCTTGAGTAATGTTTTTCACACATTTTCTCCCAGTGTTTGCCCTGATTTATCTTTTCATTCTGTTAACTCTCCTGTTACACAGCAGAAGTTTAAAACTATTTCTTTTATAGATTATAATGTAAATGCTTTTCAAAAACACCGCACTGATGAGATTTTTCTCCCTTTGTCTTTCAGGCCACTCTTTCCATGGGCTTTCCTTATTATCAGTTAGATGCAAATGGGAGGTTCCATTTCTAACAACCTTGGATTCTAGAAAGCAAATTTTCTCAGTAGAGAGCATCTGTGAAAGTGATTATGACTTTGCAGCTGCAGCCTGACCTTGGAAAAAATATTATTTCTTGCTAGCTTGGCAGCGATTTTACTTGTGGTAGTTGTCTCTCTTAGTTTGTACAACGAATTAAGGTTTGTTTTGTTTTTTTCAAAGACAGCAATATTTTGCTTTCTCAATACAAACTCACTGCACAATGAAGAGTTTCCAGGCTATGTCAACTTGATTACAGACCCCCGGGGTGGGGGGGTGGGGGTGGGGGAAGCCATCCATCTTCCAAAGGTGGAAACGTATGTAAAGTTATGGAGATCCTGGGATCCAGACCTTGTTGAGTGGAGTTCTCCTCCTCCACACAGTGAAATCCTTGTTTCCGTTTCTCCTTGTGTTTCTTTCTCAAGGTCACACAGAGAGGGTTGGCTTGGGAAGCCAAGGCCTCTGTCTCGCAGCAGCTCTGCAACTCAAAGCGGTATTTCACGTAACCTTGGAGATGGCCCCAGAGGCGCAATGGCTGGGGGAAAGTGGGGCACGCAGTCTGCGGTGCTTCGGGCAGCCGCCCTCCCCTTGGACCTCGCCGGAGGGACCTGCGGAGGGGCGGCGCAGGAGGGCGGAGCCGGGTCTCCAGGTCCGTCCCCCTCCCGGCCCCGCCCCGCGTGGCTCCCGGGGACAGGGCGGTGGGCGGACCCTCGCGCTGCGCCAGACCGGCTGGGGCGGAGCCGGCCTCGCGCGGGGATCCTGCGTCCGCAGCCATGGCGATGCGGGCTCGCGGCCTCCTGCTGCTCCGCGGACGCCTGGGCCGCGGGCCCGCGCTGCTCCCGGGGACGGCGGGGCGCGCGCTCCGGGGCTTTCGGAGCAGCCGAGTGAGGTGCGTGCACTAAGCTGGGCGGTTGGTGTCTGGCACGGGTGTGCGGTCACAGGAGGTCACATGGGAAAGGCAAGGGCGATCGCGGGAACGGAGAGGGCGATCGCGGGAACAGGGAAGGGAGCGCGTGATCGGGGAGGGCGCGTGGAACGGGAGAGGGCGCGTGGAACGGGAGAGGGCGCGTGGAACGCGGGAGAGCCGTGAGCTTGGCCTTGTGGGCATCACGCCTGCCGGTCCGGGGAACTTGGCCGTACTAGGCCCTGGGCTCCCGCCCGGGAATGGATCGTCTTCACAGCAGGTGCATTTGAGCGACCAGGAGGACCTTGGAGGCCCTCTGCAAAGAGGTCGAGCCCGCCTGCCCCACCCCGGTGGTCATTGGTTTTGGCTCTGGTCCGTGAGAAGGAGGCGGGGTGGCCTGGCTGGTCTGGCTCCCTTTGTTTGGGGTCTGCGGAGGCCTTTCGCACAAGTGTTGGCTAGCGTGATGCAGACGCGCGGTGGTGCCCTGGAATGCTTCATTCTGCCCCGTCTTTTTACCAGTCGTTGTTGGGGTCCCAGAGCCCACAAGAACCGTTTTTTAAAACTGTCAAGGCTTCCAGAGATGCGATTTCACTGCTGTCTTAGATGGCTGGAGAGTGTCTCTTTGATTTCTTTATCCCCAGTGCCCAATTTGGAAGAAAGCAATCCATCATGGGTCAACACAGATACTGTGAATTTAAATTAGCTCCTCATTGTATACACTTACCTTGCAGGCCTGAGCCACTAAAATCAATGAATGCCTGAAAGATTTATTGGGGACGTGATTTATAGTGACTAGGTCTCCACAAGGGTATGTGAGAAAATTACAGTAATTCAGAGTTACGATGATGTAAACTGTAATGGTGTTGTATAGGAATTTGTTGGGTGGCCACGGGGTTCCCAATTATCAGCTAGCTCTACTCCCGGGCAAAAGCACCTTCTGCAGAATCTTCTTTGTATTATAGAAATGAGAGAATTATTACTGCCGCTCTAAATTATTCAGATTATTGTTAGATCAATTATTAGATCAATTTCAGTTGTTTTAGCACTTCTTTCCAGAGTTAGGACTATCTTTTTTCACATTGTACAAGTTGATTAATTTCCCTTCCCTTCACTGTGACTGTGTTCACTGACTGGAAGTCACAAAAAGCAGTTTCAGCTCAAACACGTGATTAGAACTCCATGCTTCATACACACCAGCACATACAACACCCATTCATAGAAAATTCAGATATTTTAGCATTGGCATGAGGCCTGGGATTGGAATATATAATGACCTCTTTGTAAGTTGAAGTATTCGACTGCAGTGGTTTTGGAAATACATTATTCAGAAAGATGATGTAAGTTATTACTTTCAGTCTGGCTGTGTACCCTCCCATTGGATACAGATTATAACTCTATAAGAGAAAATATTTCTGATAGCTTAATTTTGTTTAAAAAGATAGCTCTGGTTAGGATAAGGTGTCATTTTTTACATTCTCTTGGCACTGAATACCTGATATGAAGGTGAGGCTGGCTGTCAGGTTTGCACTGCAGAGTGGGGTGGGGAGGAAGCCGGACAGTGTGTTGATGCTTATTGGTGTCTCTTTTCTCTTCTAGGACCAGCAGAGAGAAGAGATTCCATCTTCCAGAGATTGCCACTGTCTGCCTCCCCACTTGTCCCCATCCTCAGACATCTTTTTAAAAATACTTAATGACATGTTAGTTGTAGTCTAGTTCCTAGTGTGAATGCTATTTAAATTAAGCATCATCACCATGGTAGGAAATCAAGCCCTAGTATTATTTTTATTGAAAAGTATCCTCAAGTGTGATAAATTTCCCAGTGATACTGCTTTAAATTAACAGCCATTAGAAATATTTTTCCCTTAAGTGGACAAATATTTTTAGTATTCTTTTATTTTTCTGATGAGTTAGATACCTGTAGTAATGGAGCATATTAAATATTTTTTAAATGGTGGAGTTTCAAGAAATTATACTTAATTGCAATCAAGAATTATAAAATCTTAAGATTTATCTTTTAATGATTATCCCCTTAAGATTTGCAATAAATTTCCTTTCCTGTTTGTCCAGGGAAGTAGATAGTATAAGTTGAAGAAATTAAGGTCAAGAAATTAAGTCCTTTAATTTGTTATAGCTTCTTATTTCTTGAACTACTTAGCCGAAAGTCTGAGAAAATCTTTAGTGATTAAATTTTTCCCACTTCCCTGGGATGTGTGAAGAGTTCACAAATGAATATGGCCTTGGGTAATAAACATCCTGGGAGTCTGAGCCAGTGCTTTTCAGTCTGGCAGCTGCCTATTCTGTTTGGGTAAGGTAGTCTCAGAGCAGATGTCTTGCAACACAGATACTTTCCCAAACCTGCTTTAGGTTACTCTACCTGAACAACTCATTTTTAGTAGCCACATGGAATCCCATGTGTTTCCATTTTTATTCTGCTGCTCAACAATTTCTTGTCATTAATTTGTTAGATTTTATTTTTTCCTTCCTACAAATGCTTTATTCCTTTTAGCATCTGTACAATGTTGAGTGCCATCCTACAGCCTTATATAAACCTTCACCTTTCTTTATGTCTCATTGCCAATAGCTATTTAATTTTTGCAGCTAGGCCAGCTTTAAAAAAAATCCAAATTTGGAGCTACTAACATATAGTACTTTATTTAAATATGCCTGTCTTTTAAAGTGGGTAGTTTAATAATTTAACAAATTTTAGCAGAAACACTGCTAAATCTCAGATTCTCCCTACTAGTACTTGTTCAACATCTTCCTCCCTATAGTAGAGTTATTGTTTTTATCCTCATCTGAAACTTGAAAGACCCAGGCTCCAAGTGGGAACTGTACAAAAGTTCATTTTTCTATAGACTAATTTTGTTCAAGTGAGGATTGATCCTAAAGGCTAGTAAAGACAGTTTTTCAAAATTGCATTATTTTGTTTGAAAAAAATGAGTTTTATTAAAAGAATCTGAAAATAAAAAATGAACTCCTCTTCTAATAAAAGTGATATTTAATACCTAGCTGGCTATGATTATGAGTGCTAGCAGTTATGCCATTTTAAATTTAGACTGTTTCAGTGTTTGGCATCTCAGGTTTTAGTTTTATCTTATCCATTTCCCAGTTGTTCAGAGATGTTATATTCCATTGAAGTATCTTGAAAATCACTTTTTCTGACTGATATAGATCAATAAATGAACAAAGGGGTGATTATTAAATCTCAGATCTTGTTTGTGGGTTAGCAGTTTAATGAAATGAATTTTGATTTTTCAGATGATTTGAAGTTGTTTATCCTTTCATGACAGTATCTTGATGGGAAGATAAAAAGAGCAGGGAAAACAAAAACAAAACAATGAAAGTAGACCAGTACCCAGCATTTGGGAGGCTGAGTTCAGGATGACTGAGAGAACCAGGACATCCTGGCTGCAGAGTGAGGCTCTATCTCAGAAGACCAAAGCCAACTAACCCACTACACTACTTCCACCAAAAAAACCAAAACCAAAACCACCAGATAATCTTTAGTAGCCTCAGAGTTTTTCAAGAAGTCACAGAGAGCTCAATGAAGGTCTATAAAATAGTTTGTTTTGGAGCTGGTTATGTTGTTGGCAGAGATTCATAGAGTTGAGAGGTTAGATGAAATTTAAACTAAATAAGAGGGATACATTGAGAGAATTCTTAGCAACTAATGATATTTTTCTATTAAGTACAATTTGTACCTAAGGAAATACTGTGTATAGGAAAACCCTGGTTAGTGTATGGATATATGCAAATTGCTTATAGACGTGTCAAGACGTATAATTGCTCCACTCAGCTTTACAATATATGTATTCCATTTCTTGTTACTGTTTCCAGTATTTTAATGTGTACATAGTAATAAATCAATTGCTATGACTTTCCTAATTCAATTGCTATTTTCATTTAATGTCTAGTTTTTGCAAAATGTAAAATAATTTGCTCTCAGATTCGGGTCATTCTCTGGTCAACGTCCTATGAACCCCTTTTGTTTACTTAATAGTGAGAACTGTAAGTTGGTTTGGTGACTATTCTTACTAAACTGTGCCCCCATTTGAATCTCTAGATGGCCTTGAGTGAAAATGCCATCCAGAAATTCAAGAGCGGGCTCAGCTTAAAATAGATGGTCTGTTTCCTCCCCCTCTTTTTTTCTATTTTTAATTCTGCAGTGAATATTATCTTGGTTTTAAGTAATCTAGTTGCTTTATTGAAAAATAAATTCTTACTCTTACCTATGGATATCTTTCTCATTGGTAAGCACTTAGATGAGAATTTTCACATACACAAGGGTTTTTGTGTTTTTGTTTGTTTGTTTTTTCCCTCACAAGAAGCGAAAGAAGTAGATTTAAGCACAGCCATTCACAACTAATGGACTGGGAAATTGGAGCTTAGATAAAAGAAACAATTTTTCCCAGGTTATCACAACCAAAATTATAATAAAGACAGCTTTCCAGGACTCTTCTTTACAATCAGTTTATGATTGTTGACTTATCTCACTGCTGCTTTCTTTCTATGAAAATAATTTATCCATGTAGGACATTTGTGTAAGAAGAAACTAATTTTTCTTATTAATCTTAAAAAAAAAACTTAATTTGTCATAGTCCCTTTCATGTGGCATGTACTTAACTTAGAGCCTCATGGATAGGAAAAATCCATAAATACCCTTGCATGGGAGGTCAAGGTCATAACATCTAATCAGCACTTTTTCCTACTTGTAAATGTTGGCACAAATCATAAGACTACCATCAGTACTTGTAAAATTATCCATACAAAGCACAGAAATTTAATGTCAGTTAATGCTGATTATACAAAATAGCATTTATACTTAGGGCTGCTTTGATTGAACAGTAGTGTCAATCAGGTATTTGGTATTATTTGATATTAAGTAGTCCTATCATTAGATCCTATTACATGATGCTTTGAGAAAAGTATTTGATTATACTGTATCAATAGAACTGGCTTCCCTTGGAATCCGGTGTATTCAATAATGCATTTCTTTGATTTCCACAGTAGAGTCCTTTGTTAAACTATAAAAATGAATAACAAAAATCATACATAAGGATAAGAGCTTGCTTTATTTTTACTGATACACAAATAGGCTTTTCTTTTGGTAAAATTACTTTAAAAATACACTGTAGATGTATAATGAATTTTTTAAAGAATTTGAACCTAATGAATATTCAACAGTATTCATTTACTTTAAAAATATAGCTCAACCCATTCTCTACTATTAGTGACAGGTTTTACTCCACATGTAATCTTTCTTGGAAATTGTTAATTCAGAACTAGAATGCTCAGAATGTGCCAGGAGACACAAAATGGTTAAAGTACATACTAGTGCTTGAGAAGAATGTTGAACTTTTAACAATTATGTTAAGAGTTTTCATATTTCTAAATCCTAATTTCTGCTTGTCATCACCTGGCTGTTTCCTGTGTTTTCATGTAGTATTATTCTCTGTGTCTTCTAAAAGGGCTGTAGTCCTATGGATTAAGGCCCCAAACTGTCCAGTTGGATACAGTGTTTCCTCTTAACTTCATATGCAAAAACTTTGCTTTCAAATAATATCCTATTTACAGGTTTGAGTTTAGGAATTGAACATAGAACATAGAACCATCGAAAGACTGTCATAACTTCAATCTGGGAAATGAACAAAGATGATGGCTTTGTACTAGCTAAGCTGTAGTAATCAAAACTGTGTGATACTGGCATATAGATACATGGAACAAAGCTTGCTGAAATGAGCCTGTGTAGTTAAAGTTGGTCACTGACAAAGGTGACAGGCGTGAAGAAAGAGTACAATGAAGACAATCTTCAATAAGTAGCTTTGGGAAAACTCGGTACTGCACTTGGGAAGTTAAGGCAGGAGGACTGAATTTGAGGCCAGGCAGTAATAGCTAGTGATACTTGTTCCAATAACAGTAACAACAAAACTCCAAAGAAAACAAGAACAAAAAAAAAAAGCTCTAAAATGTCACATGATCTCCATGGAGATATCACATGATACTGCATGGAACTCCCAGGGATGAGAGGGAAGTAGGAGGAAATGGGGAATGCTGCCCAAAGGGCAAAAAGCTTGTTGGACCATATGGAGAAGATCTGGAGTTCCCATTGTACAGCACAGTAACTAGAGTTAGTCATCATGTATTTCAGACTGGGACTATTTTTTTAAAATTTTAATAGTTTTTGTAAAAATACTATACAAAGCGGTTACAGTTACATGAGCAAGGTAATGAGTACATTTCCTATCAAGCATTGTTACCTCCTTTGTTTTTCCCCTAACATCCCTTCCCTCCCACCTCCACAATTACACTCCTTTCCTCTCCCCCTTCCCCACCCCAAACTCCTCCCCACACGCCTAAATTGTAAAGATCGGCATAGCATCTTGTACATCTCATTGTTACAATGGGTCCACCTGTGTCCCTATTTAAGCATTTTGTTTTTTCCCTTCCCCTCCCCAAATTAGACCAACATCAAATACAGTGAAAATGCGTTATACCATGGGGGAGGAATATACAAAGAAACAAAAAAATCACATGATACATTATAAATACGTTAGAAACCATAGCAAGAAAGAATAGTGTTTCTGAATCACAGATGTGGTTGTAGCACAATTTTAGCCAATTCCCCAGCCAATATACATACATGTATTCATAGATGACACTTGGGAATCCCTTCCTGACAAAACATCATTTGAGCCTGGCTAAATGCTATGGACAATGCCAGGCTGAACTGGAATACTCTTGATATGGATCCATCTAATGCACACAATCCTTTCAGAGAGGGCAGTTAACTTATTTGGAAGCAAATTTGCATTTTGTGTATTGGCTGATGTTCATCATGCCCATTGTGATCATAAAGTTAAAAGTACACATTTAGAAAGAATTCATTCTTAAGGGCCTCCTTGCCTCATTTTCCCCTTGTACTTCCTTCCTTTCTCCACTTCCTTCTTCACTGTCTTATTGGCTTACTTTTGGTGTCTTGTGGAATTGAGTTTTATACAATAGGATTTTCAATAGAAGCAGGCAGCAGGGAAGGAACAAAGTTACTTTTTCCAAGTCTTTACCCATTTATCTAGTTTAGAATATGTACATATATAAAAAAATCCTGTTTTACACCAAAGATATGTACATTTAAACAATAAACACACAGCAAGAACCTAAATCACCACTTAAATCTGACATCATAAAGAACAAAGTAATCTTAAACACTTTACTTTGTTCCTTGTTTTTCTACAGATAATTTATTGTCATCTGTCAAAAGGTAACAATCCCTACCTTAAGTACTTATAAATTGCCAAGGAATAATGTTCTATAAAGAGTTTTCTATAAGACATGATTCCATGTCACAGAACAACCAACCATCTGCTTTCTGAGCAGGTGCCTCACATAATAGCAAACCTGTCAAGACTCACAACTTTTGTCAGCGAGTTGGTCTGGGGCTGAGGAATAAAATGATTCCTTGAGTAAAGTTAAGAGTTTTATGGAGCTCTGGATTGTCAAGTGTGAACTGATTTAACTGAGCTCACAAGATTGTGGGGCTACAAATATAGAATATAAAATACAGCTCTGAAGTTGAATGTCAAGTTTAACTAGGCTATGCTGATTTTGCTCTTCAGAAGAAACAGCAACACTTGAAATATAGCCAGTGTTATAGTGAAGATCTTGAAGATGTGATTTGATTCAATATACGCACACATAATATGAATGAAAATTGGGGGCTTCTGCTGCACGGTGTTTTAGTCCATTTGGACTGCTGTAACAGGATACAGTAGACTTGATGGTCTGTTGACAACAAAATGTAGGTAGCACAGCTCTTGGGGCAAAATTCCAAAGATCAAGATGGTGGGTGATTTAGTATGTGGTGAAGGATAGTTTCTTGATCCATGGATGGTCATCTTCTTTGTCTTCCAATGAGTGGAGTTCTCAGGAGTGACTTATAAGGGCCCTAATCTCATTCCCCAGGGTTCCCAAAAGTCCCATCTCCAAATCCTGTCGCATTGGGCAATGAGGAGGGGTGGAAGACATTAGTCTTTAGAAGTTAGATTATAAGGCAGAACCAAATAGAACATGAATCCTTACAGATTTGAAATGTAAATATGAGTCTGCAGGTGTGTCAATAAAATGGGAGAAAAATCGAATGTTGCTTATTAGTATCCATCAGTTGTATGTGGGGTTTTCATTTCAGCATTTGAATACATGCAGGCAATGTACCTGATCGAACTCACTCCTCCATTACCCGCACTCCCCCCTCTCCTTCCCAAGCCAGTCCCCACAGCTTCATTGTTCCATGCTCAGACACTCACAGAAAATATTTGACCATATTTACATGTCTTCATCCTGTTTTCTCTCATTGCTCCCGTCCCAGATAAGACAAGTTTCAACCTCGTCTTATTCATTTTAGTTAGGGTACCGACAGATTAATTATTGTTCAGAAGGCTTTCCCTATGGGATTTTGCACATGCATTGTGCCATCCATTCATCAGAATGATCGTATGTGTGTTCATGTGAATCTTTCAGTTCCTGGTTTTTCTTTGGTGGTAGATTATTACTGCTTTAATCTCATTTCCTATCTGTATCTCTATTTAAGTAGTTAAAGTACTCTGGGTTCAGTTTTGGTTATCTAGAAATAAATTCATTTCTTTTAGGTTTTCTAATTTGAGTATATGTTTCCAAAGTCTGTAGTCATGATGTCCTGGATTTTACTTGTATTTGTTGGGCTAAGTCCATTTTCATCTCCAATCTTTCTTATGTGAGTCATTTCATTCATCCTTTTAGTCAGATTGTGTGAGAGTTTTTTGATTTTGTTTATCTTGTTTCGTTGATTCTTTTTAAAATTAATTTACTTTATTGTTATCACAGAGGTGATGTACAGAGGGATTGCAATTACACATGCGCAGTAATCAATGCATTTCCTTTTGTACACTGTCTTCTGTTCCCTCACTCTCTCCCAGATTGATTTACCTGGCTGTTACCCTAATCTTTGTTATTTCTTTCCATTTCTGCTAATTTTCAATTTGGCTAGTACTTTTTTTTTTGTCGATCGTGGGGCTTGAACTCTGGGCCTGGGCGCTGTCCCACAGCTCTTCAGCTCAAAGCCAGCCACTCTACCACTTGAGCTACAGCTCCACTTCCGGTTTTTAGTGGTTTATTGGAGATAAGAGTCTCACGGACTTTCCTGCCCGGGATGGCTTTGACTTGTGATCCTCAGATCTCAGCCTCCTAAGTAGCTAGGATTGCAGGTGTGAGCCACCAGTGGAGCTTAAGGTATATCATTAGGGTAGTTATTTGAGATTTTTTTTAAACATAGGCACTCATAGTTATAAACTTTCTTCTTATTACTGCCTTTTCTGTATCCTAAGCATTCTAATATGTTATGTTTACATTGTTATTGGATATAGGAACTTTTGCATTTTCCCTCTTATTTCTTTAGTGACACACTCATCATTGAACAGTGATGAGTCTCTATGGATTTGAGTGGTTTCTGTGATTTCTTTTTCTGTTGAGCTCTAGTTTAAATCACTATGGTATGATAGAATTCAGGGGATATCTTATGCTTTCTGGGGCTTGCTTTTACTCCTACAACACCATCCATTTTGTAAAAAGACCCATGGGCTACCAGAAGAATGTGTAGTGTGCAGCTGCTAGATGAAATACTCTATAAGTATCTATCACATCCATTTGGTCCATGAGTTTTCAAACATAAGTTTTCTTGGTTAAATTTTTGTATGGATTACTTGTCTGTTGGTGAGAGTGGGGTATTGAAGTATCCCACTATCCTTGTGTAGGTGTCCATGTGTGTTTTATAGGTCCAATAGTATATTTGTTGTACAAAGTTGGATGCAACTTTAAATAATTTGTTTTTAAAGTTCACCAAAAAGTTAACCTTGTTTGAGTTAATATTTAATATTCCTTATAGTGTTTTTAGCACTGCACTGTTTTGTTGTCCACAGATATGAAGCCATTATCATCTCTGGAACTGAAATGGCCAAACAAATCCAGAAAGAAATACAACGAGGGGTGGAATCGTGGGTCGCCCTTGGGAACAGACGACCTCACCTTAGTATAATTTTGGTGGGAGACAACCCAGCAAGCCACACCTATGTGAGAAATAAGTTAAGAGCTGCTACTGCTGTAGGTGGGTATGTCGTTTAGTTGTAATTCTTATTAAGTATGTTTTCTATTTTTACATAATTTTACATAATTACAACTCATAAATTACAAATTAAGTATCCATTCAATAATGTGTCATTATTATTAGATTTTTCAGTTACTATATGTTAATTTATTTCTATTTTTCTTCAAATTTCTTATAACACTAGTTCCTGTAACTTTATATCTTAAGAGAAATGTAGGATAACTATTTTGCATTTCAAGGGCCTGTATTCATTATATTTGCTTTAATCAAATGACAAACTTTGCTTGTTTACTCTGTCTCGTTTAGCTTTACAGCATTATGGTAATAGTACTTCTACTCTCCTCAAATCTAGAAAGAGTAGGTTATCATATGTCAGTGCAAGTTGTTACCCGGGGAACTATCCAAAGAACACATGTGAATCACAAAAAATTACCTGTATGCACGTAACGGAGGGAAACCAGGAGGAGGAACAGAATCAGTGGGAAACAGAACAGCATACAACAAAGGAGCCCATCTGCTGCACTGGACATAGAAGAAAGAGAACTAAGCAGCCCAAAGACAGCGATGGGAAGGGAGGAATGAGAGGGAACGAGGGAACAGCCTACACTAAGCAGAAGGAAAGAAATGTAAACATCACCCAATGTGGAAGAAATAATTTGTATTGTCAAAGCTCAGAGAATTCACAAACTTTATAGACCAGGATAATGATAATTTGCCTTGTGAAGGTTAAAATGTGCTTGTGACTCTAAGTATCACTATTCCACAATACTGTGAAATATATGAAATTTATGTCATCATCTCCTTCAGTTTTAAAAACAAGTGGGAGAAGGGATGGGTTAGGAGCCATGATTGACAATGTCAGATACCTTGTATACTGTTTTGTAGAATGGGAACTTCTTTGTACAACTACTTAAAGATAATAATAATAATAATAAATGTTAAAAAAGAAATAGAAATACTATTATGGTGATCTTAATGGCTAAGTGTAAAGAATATGTTACAAAACTGTTGGAAGGTTCATTTGCTGTTTTTGCCATTCTCTCCCCCTTCTTTGCAGAAAGGTTCTCACTATAAGGTGCCAAATGGTCGGGACCTTTCAAGCCTTATGGCAGTGACAGAAGTGATGGAATTAGAGATAAGTGCTGCTATGCCTGGCTTTTAGCAAGATCACAATAAAGCAATACCAGTGCATATAAGGAAAAAAATACCTGTATCAGTTGGTGGCTCACATCTGTAATCCTAGCATTAAGAGGCTGAGATCTGAGGATCGTATTCAAAGCTAGCCTGGGAAGGAAAGTCCATTAGACTCTTATCTCTAAACAACAAAAAAGCTATAGATGGAACTGTGACTCAAGTAGTAGAGTGCTTACCCTGAGCAAAAAAGCTCAGGGACAGCACCTAGGCCCTGAGTTTTAGCCCCAGGACCAGCACACACGGACAGACACAGACACGGACACAATTACTTATATGGTTTGAGAAATACTTCCTCAAAGTGTATGAGACATCTTGTTTGCAGAAGGGCCTTTTCTTTCCATGGAACAAGGATCTAGGAAATCAGTGACATCAGTAGGACACCTCTAATGAAAAGCCACAAATAACTGTCTGCTTGTTTTTCTTCCAGGTATCTGTAGTGAACTCATTCTAAAGCCTAAGGATGTGTCTCAGGAAGAACTTTTGGATATAACTGATCAGTTGAACATGGACCCAAGAGTCAATGGTATATTGGTTCAGTTACCACTTCCAGGTATGTAACACTCTTCTGTAGATGGGATTTGGTTGGAAGAGGGGCACTTGCAACATAGCTGTGATACTAGTAATATGTGATGATTAATAACTATAAGTGACAACTTCTGAATGATTGCTGCTTGTATTGATGGAAAACTATGAGGAAGCATTTAGGCATTGGCAGTACATACCGTTTTTGTTTGGCACAGTTGGTACAATTATAAAAATGACCACAAATTGAAATCTGTTAAAGTGATCTTACTAGTGAATGGAAACAATTTTTCTTGAACCTTTACATTTTTTGACCTTAACTTTTTATCAAAGCACAAAACTCTCCTATTATGATTTATGAATAAATAGTGAAATAAATAGTGAAATTAATCAATATGCTGTTATTTATTTATAGTGCTAATACTAGGGCTTAAGCTCAGTTTCGAGTGCTCTATCTCGACTTTTTCCTTTCACGGTTGTCACTCTACCACTTGAGCCATGCCGCCAGACCCAAAACACTATAATTTAAAACATTAGGAATATTGAAAATTAAAGTGACCTTTTTTCTATAAAGCATTTTTTCCCAGAGTGGTTTGACTAGTATCATTATACAACTTATGATATAGAACAATCTTTTAAATGCTCTGGTAAATTAAATGGTCATATTGCTTTCTATGTTTAGATCAGCTCCCAACATTGTATCCTGTATTCCCTTAGTGTTATGTAGTATAAAGTTCTTTTGATATGAAGTTTTATGCAGGTGTTTATCTTTTCAAAGGATGCTGTTTCAAATCCCCTAGTCAGCATGTCCCATTTACTTCAGTTAAATTCCTCTTGAAGTGACTTCATCTTTTTTTGTTTGTTTACCAGGCTTTCTCTTACCTTTGCTTTGCAGCCATAATTTTTCAGATTTGCTGCCCAAATGCATTTCGTGTCCAGCATTCAATACCTTTGTCTTTGTTATATCTGCATCGTTATAGGCTAATAACCTAATTGTGTTGTTGTTGGTGGTGTGGTCCTGGAGCTTGAACTCGGGACTTGGGTGTTGTCCCTGAGCTTCTTTAACTTAAGGACAGTGTTCTACCACTTGAGCCGCAGTGCCACTTTTGGCTTTGTTTGAGTGGTCTATTGGAGATAAGAGTCTCATGGAGTTTCCTGCGGGGTTGGCTTCGAACTGCAGTCCTCAGATCTCAGCCTCCTGAGTAGCTAGGATTACAGGCATGAGCCACTGGTACCTGGCTCCTATTTATTTTTGTAAAATGTTATGTGGGTTTATTTGTCTGGGAGATGCGAGACAAAAAGACAAAAAACTTTGCTGAGTGTGTTCCAACTAAAAAACTGAAGTGCCCAATTAGCAGTAGTCTTTGCAAGAAGTGTCATGATTGGTCAATGACCATGATGCGTGCTTGTTATGTTCATAGTGTTTTGTGGATTGAAGAGACAGCTGCTCTCACATTATCAGATGTGAAATTTGAACTGTGTTGTTGGAGAAATGCTTTTACCTAATGAAATTGTGGTTCTGAAACACATGTATGTTTGAACCTTGTGAGAGGATGGCTGTTTTTTTTGTTTTTTGTTTTTTTTGTTTTTGGTCCAGTTGTGGGGCCTGAACTCTGGGCCTGGGCGCTGTCCCTCAGCTCTTCAGCTCAAGGCTAGCGCTCTACCACTTGAGCCACAGCGCCACTTCCGGCTTTTTTCTTTTTGCTTATGTGGTGCTGAGGAATCGAACCCAGGGCCTCAGGCATGCAAGGCAAGCGCTCTACCACTGAGCCACCTTCCCAGCCCCAGAGAGGATGGCTGTTATAGTGCAGGTTACAGTTTTACTCAGATTTTACTTCTGCTACTTTGATCAGCAATTATCTGATGTGGAGAAAGTTAATGTCTATGATGCTCTTACATGGGATCTTCATGTAATTTGAATATTTTCCTTTTTCTAATGATAGAATTTAGTATGTACATGTATTTTATATAAGACACATATACTAATATATGTTATATGTACATATATTATATATCACATATCTATGTTATATTACATATATCATGTATTACATATATACTTGCATGTTATGTATTAATATATACACATGCTACAAACAATATATATTACTGTATGTTATTGAATTCATATTATTTACGTTGTATCAAAATTCATCCTTCTGATTGTTCCACAATAACTGCATCTTAAAAAATGATCAAGTGGGAAGGACTCTTAAGCAATTATATGACAGATAATTCTGTAACTTAATTATGACAAAATTAATACAATGATATATAATTTAGTTTTAAAATATAAAAAGTTCTCTACATGTAATACTTTACTCCAAACCATAGTGAAATGGGTTTAGAGAAAAGCAGGCATTTTTTTCAATGTTAAAAATTTGCCTGATTCATTTTAGCAGGGTTTGGCGTATACAAAAAAGAATCTAAGCCGGGCGCCGGTGGCTCATGCTTGTAATCCTAGCTACTCAGGAGGCTGAGATCGAGGATCGTGGTTCAAAGCCAGCCTGAGCAGAAAAAGTCCATGAGACTTTTATCTCCAATAAACCACTCAGAAAACTGCGAGTGGCACCGTGGCTTAAGTGGTAGAGCGCTAACTTTGAGCTGAAGAGCTGAGGGACAGCGCCCAGGCCCAGAGTTCAAGCCCCACAACTGACCAAAAAAAACAAAAAACAAAAAAAAGAATCTAGTTTTGGCAGGGCACTGGTAGCTCACGTCTGTAATTCTAGATACTCAGGAGGCTGAGATCTGAGGATCATGGTTTGAAGCCAGCTCAAGCAGGAATGTCCATGAGGCTCCTTTATCCAATTAACCACCGAAAGAGCTGGAAGTAGAGCTGTGGCTCAAGTGGTAGAGTGCTAGCTTTGAGCAAATAAGCTCGGGGACAATGCCCAGGTCCTGAGTGCAAGCCTCAGGATTGCTTGGGAAAAAAAAAAAAGAGAAAAAAGATTTCTAGTACTGTATTTGTCAAGCAATTGTTTTACAGTTTGTGGTTGAATCTTCTCCCACTTTATTTGTACAGCTTTCAAATAATTTTGTGAAACATACCACAATATTAATTTTTATCACAATATTAACGTTAAACTGACCATATTCCCTAATGTTTGCTATAATTCTATCAAAATTCTAGTAGCATTTTTTCACAGAAATAGAAGCATCATCCTAAAATTCATATAGAGCCACAAAAGACCTCAAATAGCCCATACAATCCAGATTGAAAGAACAAAGCCAATGCACCGAACTACATAGTTTTGAAGCCTACTACAAAGCTATAGTAACAAAACCAAGTGGTCCTCTTCCAAATGGAGACATACAGATGAATGAAACAGACCAGGGAGCCCAGGTACAAATTGACACTTGAATCAACTATCTTTGGCAGAGTTGCTAAAAACACAAATGGGCAAAGGAGTCTTCAAGAAATGACATGGGGGAAATTGGATCTCCACATACAGAAGCATGAAACTAGAACCTTATTTCACCCTTAATAGACACAAAGTTGACTAAAGGCATAAATTTAGACCTGAAACTGTATGCTGCTAAAGGAAAACTAAGAGAGAAAACTTCTTGACATTGTTTTGGCTTTGAATATCCCTTCTTGCATACAACTCTCAAAATCCAGGTGATGAAACAAAAAAATAGACAAATGAGATTGCATAGAACTAAAACACTTTTGCACAGTAGAAGAAGCAGTGAAGAATATAAAGAGACAGCGTACAGAATGGGAGAAAGTGTTTGTGAACCATATGTCTGACAAGGGGTTAACTCCCCAAATATATTAGGAACTCCTGTAATTCAATAGCAAGGAAAAAAGACCCTAAGGAAAATGGGCAAAGGAGGCATTTTTCACAAAAGAATGTAAATGGCTACCAGGTATATGAAAAAAATGCCAACCACACTCATCATTGGGAAAAGACAAACTAAAGCCACATCTATGCTGATGGCTGTACCATGATAACAAACGGGAAGTGTTGGACAGAAGGCAGACTAAAGGAGTACTTGTGCATTACTCTTGAGGGTGTACACTGGTGCAGCCATTATTAAAACAGCATGGAGGTGCTCCTGCCCCAAATAACTACAATACAGCCTAGCAGTCTCACTTCCAGGTATACATCCAAAGGAAATGGCATCAACCCTTAGTAAAGGGTTCACAGCAAGATTATTTACATGACCCAGATAGAGAACCAACCTAATTGTCCATCATGAATGAAAAGATTATGAAAATACGGTTATCGACACACTGGAATACCATTTAGCCATACAGAGGAAGGAAGAATGACCACTTATTGTAGAATGGTGAGCCTGGAGCCAATTATGTGCAGGGGAAGGAAGCTAGCACCAAGGAACAATGCTAGTAACCTCCCTTATTCCTAGAAAATAAGGCAAGCTCATAGAGACATAGATTAGGATGCTGGTCCCTGGGGCCTAAGGCCTGGGGTATGGATGGGTGCAGATGTTGGTCAAATGACATGATATCTTACATTGATATAGTGAATAAGGTTTGGAGTTGTACTGTACAACATGGTGACTATAGTTAATAAGTGCACTTGTATACTTTCAAATTTCTAAGAAAGCAGACTTCACAGATTCTCACCACAAAAAAAGCAGAGGATGGGTTGCCTGTTAATCAGCTTTATTTAGCCTTAGACAGTGCATACATGCTTCAAAATGCATGCTGACACCCCCAAATAGATATTATTTTTGTCACTTAAAATTTTTAAAATTGTCTTTCTAAATGACTTTATTTACTTCACCAAGTATTGATGGCTACATTAGGTTTAATTGTCCTGGGAAAATCAAAATTTTTGTCTATAGAAATTTAAAGAAATGTACTCATTACCATACTCATGTAACTGTAACCCCTCTGTACAGCAACATTACAGTAAAAATTTTTTTTAAAGAAAAAAAAGAATGCACTTTCCCAAGTACAGACTTACTTGGTGACTGTGTTGCCAACTGGCCACTAGATGGTAGTGATGATCTACTTCTGCTAGACATTAAAGCCTGATAACCTGTGATCCTGACTAAATA